TAGTGGTGGACTTGGCAGCGTTAGGTTGAGGGTTGGACTCCATCACCTTAAGCGTCTTTTCCAACCTTAAACGATGTTATGATTCTACGATTCTATTCCAGTCTTAAGTCATATCCCCTCATGCATACGTTACTGTAAGGGCCAAGTACAGTAATTCTCATATTCAGAATAACTCAAGTAACATTGATGATGTCATTATTCATCACTGGGGGATTTCTTTTCCTCCCTGCAAACTCCTTTCAAATATACACAAAGCAGAATTTTCATCCAACTCTAATGATGTAGATTTTTTTTTCCATTTTACTGAAACTCCAGAACCAAAACTGAACCGATCTGCACATTTCGGTTTTGCAAGTTTTATTTTTTCAAACAAACAAAAACTCCAGTTATAAAGGAGGATACTAATTTGCCCTAAAAAACCAAAAAATATTAACAGGGTAAGATCGTTATTTGTAAAAGAGAAGGAAAGTGTGTGCATAAAAGGAACAGCTTAAGCCTGTTGCACCTCTTCACTTCTCGTGCCCAGGCAGCCCCCAAAAACTACATTGAAAAACATTCCCTTTAACCACCAAACACCACCGGTGCTCTGCCGCTCTGCGATTCCCTTTCATATTGACTGAATATTGACCAGGAGCCCTACGAACTAACATTCGTTTGGGGGAAAAACTGAAATGATAATGATAATTAATAATAATAAATGTTAAAACTGCAGTATTATTACTGTTGTTGTTGTTGTTATTACTGAAGTTTTTATTGCCCTAAGCACCCATCCCAAAAAACCGTAACATTCAATTTTCCGCTCTTTCATTCCCAAGTATTTAGACGTTAAAAATAAGGATGTTTGATTTATAAACGTCTACCCGACCACCAGGCAAATAGGCAGCAGCCAGGCAAAAATTTCTAGACAGACAGGGACCCGATAAATTAAACTACGTACCTTACAGCCCTTTCGCCTTCCTTTTTCAGCCGTTGCGCTCGGCTGTAAATCCACGTTTTATTCCGTCCTGTTATCAGCTGGGTGCCTCGTTTGCTAACAAAGTCCGCCAGTGGCAGCCTCCAGTATCGCTGGGCCTTTTTTTTTTTTTTTTAAGGCTTTACAGCTTCGTTTTGCTGATTCTGCAGAGTCCTCTGTCACGAGAAATAGGCATTTCCCTGAATTCGTGGTTCTGCTGTGGCGGATTTATCACAAGTTTTCTGCAAGCTGCGACGCAATATCAAATTGCAGGAATTAAAAAGTCAGGGACTGCAAAAATTAGTAAAAACACTATAATATCAAGGGTATTTTCTTGTGTCCCTATTAGATTTGCAGGAATTAAGAGCCAATTATGTCCTGAAAATCAGTGAGTTGAAGACAAGGGAATTCTGGCCAATCCATGAAAGTAAGAAAATTTGCTTCCAACTCAGCAAAGGTACCTGGGACCTCCCCAGATCAAACTCCACCCTCAAACAAAAATCAGCCACTAGGAACAATGCGCCTACCCCCAAAATCTGCCTCTTTTGCACCAAAACGACGAAGCACCTACCCCAGGCATTCAAGGGGAAAAAGGAAAAAAAAAATTAAAAAATTTAAAAATCACATTACAAAAACCAATTCATATTGAAAAGATTCATTCAGAAACTCCTCCAAAAAACAAAGGAAGGAAAAGAGAAACTCTTCCTGCGCCTCCGCCCGTACGGTGCTCACCTGGAGGGCAGGGCAGGTGCTTTCAGGGTTATTTTTGCATTTTTATGTTAAAAGTGGAGAATGTGCCACAGAGGCCTGACGCAGAGGTCGGAGACCGGACTCCTCCTTGTGCAAAGAGCACGTTGACCCGCAAGCAGAAGCTACCACATGTTCTCACTTGCTTAATTACTGAATTACTAAAGCATCCTGCTGACACGGAGGAAAACGACACGTGATCCCTTTCTCCCTTTGTTTTTACTTTGTTTTATTCATTTGCCACGTGAGTAAATGGAAGCTCACCAGGCTTGGCAGAATCCCAACCAATGGGTCTGGTAGCCGTCAACCTGAAGAAGGCTTATCCCACAGCGAGCTCGGTCTCAAAAACCAGGAGTTTTCATTCTAGAACAACTTACACCAAGGAATTTTTATTTTGTTTGCTAGCTAGGTCTTGAAATAATTTCAACCACACGATTGCATTCCCATGGAAAAGCAACGAACGTGTTTAAAATTCATTTTCAAAGTACCTGTAAGAGATCCAACACATTGTAGACATGGCATCAACTCGGTCTGCTGATACCTGGACAGACCTTCACCCGTCTGTGTATTTAAAAATGGGGCAAAATAGCACTTTTGGGGCCAGGTGCGACGCACCGAAGAGAGAAGGACCATGGTCTGAAACTGCATCTTGGTGTTTTTTACACTTCTTTGTTAGTTTGAGTTATAGCCACAATAGCCATCGCGATGACCGTGTTCCCAACCAAATCCACGCTGGGTCAAAGGAGGAAGAAATTCTGCAGCTCCCCGTGTAAACAAGGGACTGACGTGTCATGAAGCTGTAAAGATAGCAGTCACTGCTGGAGACCTTGCTGTCGGAAGTGGGGCAGATGTCTCTCAAGGTCTCATGAGGACCTGAGACACAACAACGGAACGTGAATGTTATATTACCACGTGCAAGAAAAAAAATATATCATTTTTATTGCTAGTGAAAGTATAAACAGAAACTGAGGCGGAGTCAGGTGCTGTGGGAACAAGTTTCATGATGGTCTGAACCACGATCATGAATGTGGTGCTTATGTCTGCAGATTAATAACTGCTATTTTTTGAGGTAGACAATATGTCCTACCTATTGCCAAAAATTTATTATCTCTCCTTTCAGCTGCAAAAAAATTAAAAATTTGCTTGGAAAAATAAAAAGTGTATTTTCTCTGTGACTGCTCACGCCTTGGACAGATCAAAATACGCTTGACAATGCGACGTGACCAAAATCTATGGTCTGATTTGTTTGTTGGGTGGTTTGGGGTTTTTTTTGAAGCATAATGTAATTGCATTAGGAACATCTGAAAACGTGAAAAGTGTCCTGCAAGAAAATGATCTGAACCTGTCATTTCTAGCTGGTAACGGAGATGTTGGCTGTAGGACGCACTTCTCTGCCTATAAATGGGGGCGGCATGGGGAATAAACGTGATGAGTTGGCGACCCGTCCCCAGCCACAGGTCTACAATCTTGTGGGCACGGAGATGTGGTGGGACGGCTCCCACGACTGGGCTGTTGCAATGGAGGGACGCAAGCTCCTTAGGAAGGACCAGAAGAGTTGCCCTTTACGGAGTGCACGGAGCTTTTCCACGGAGGCGGAGGAGGAGCCAGCTGAGAGCTGGGTTAGGATGAAAGTGAGAAGAGGTGATGGTGACGTGGTGGTGGGTATCTGCTACAGGCCAGGAAGAACAAGCAGCTGAGGCCCTCTGCAGACACGTTCTCAAGGCCTCAAGCCTCACGTTCGCAGGCCCTTGTCCTCACAGGGGACTTCACGCCCCACCACCCCCAACCTCACACATCCAAAGAGCAACGAAGCTGGGGAAGGGTCTGGGGAA